GTTTTATGTATGTACACATAAGTTTAAGAATGTATTTGCATATCCTGAATTTGAAAGTCTAAGGCATGATAGATAGGGCGAAATTCTCGAATCTACAGAGGATTCGGAAGAAGTTGTTGGCTGATTTAGACCAATAGGCTTTGTGTCAGGATCCAGTCTGAGCCAAACAGCCAAAGGAAAGAGCCTAGGTATTTTGAAAAAATAAGAGAAATGAAAGGCATTCACAAGAAGGAAGTGTATGCGTAATTTAAAAAGGAAGACTAAAAAAAGAGAAAATATGTCACTGGAAAAATGGAAGTAATTGAAGTTAACATTTGGAATGACAAGTATAAGCATACTTGTACTTTATACTACTTGTTTCTTTAATTTGTATTCCATGAGGTTGGTCAAGCAGCTTCATACCTAAACCCGAGATAGGCACTCATATCTGTGTGGCCGAAACTTTAAAAAGTTCTTATGTTTTTTCATTTATTTTAAAATTATCTAAGAATACGTGCTTTCAAATCCTCAGCTAAATTGTTAATGCCTTATGGGTAAGGCCGTGTGATAGAATGAAAGAACGAATCAGAATCAAGTACCATATAGTAAAAATAAATATTGTCCTAAGGCATTGATTATTTCTAGCTAAAAATAAAGGAATTCACAAAAGAATGAAAAAGTAATAAGCAGAGTTTGGATTGGAAGGAACGAGCGAAAATAATACTAGTTCCTCAAGAGAGGATTACAGAAGCTGATATATGAAACTCTGCTCATTTACTATTAAATAAGCTGAGTTGGTTTAAAATGAATTGTAAAGAATTAGATTAATAAAGCCCAAGTAGTAGTAGCGCGAGTAGTACTGCTGCCTGTTCGCATGATGATAAATATAGGCCGAAATAAATGGTGATCTAAGAGGTTTGGTGAGATTTGTGGTCTGTAAGTACCTCTTTATATGTGCAATAGTGAAGAGAACAGTGTAAATCATTCGAAATAGGAGCTAGAATTTCAGCGGACATCCAACAAAGCCTTAGCCTTAAGGCCTCCAATGACGCTGACAACTTTTTCCTCTGGAGTGCAGCGAAGCTCTTGACTTGCTTCATGTGGTGGACCATAGCAACCGTTTTGCGACCCAGGAGCACGCTCGTACAACTGCACTAGCTGGGGCAAATGAATGGGCGTCGGAGGGGAGGATGTAATTGGTATCGACTGTTGATGGCGCGTAGGATGGTTTTGATGCTGAGGATGATGATGGTGATGGAAATGAGACAGCTGCTGATGCTGCTGCCCTTCATTATTCTGACCTTTGTGGTGGCCTATCAGGTTGGCGTATGAATGTGAATGTCCATGAGCTTGTGCATGCTGGTTTAAGCAGGGGTTGTGCTGTTGTCGGTGCTGATTTTTCTGTTGTTGATGCTGTGGGTGATGATGCTGGTGGCGGTGGTGCTGATGGAGATTGGTCTGGCCAGGGGATCGGCCCGAGAACTGGGTGATTTGTGCTCCCTCTCTACTGGTCTCCGTCGAGTCATAATTTGCTGGGCCAGTCCACTTAGTGTAGACCAATGACTCCAGACAGTTGGTAAAAGGCGTTACAGATCCAGTGCCCCCACTACTATTACTTCCACCACCATTACAGATACCGCTGACAGAATCGTTCATCATTGGGGTGACGGCACCTCCCGTAGTTTGTCTCAGACCAGCCAGATGTCCAACTTGGCTGCCTCCACTACTGCTGCCAATGCCGCCAGTACTTCCACCTAGGGACGCAGCTTCTAGTGAACTAGCCAACAAGAGTACTTGAGGCATGGAGTTCCGAGATATCTGCTTACTTTGAGAAGAAGATATCCCAGATGTTTGCGAGTCCATAGTATATCCAAGTCCCGACTCGGGGGAGCCTTCGTTAATAGAACTGCCACCCCCTGAGCTACCAGATAATCCATTATTTGAAACTATGCTGGGCACTGCTGGACTGTTTCGTCCGAATGGCCGGCGTAACGCAACACTTCCAGCAGTCGGGTTAGTCGGTGTGATAACAGAGTTGCCACCTGTCGTGGAGGAGGCAACTGAGATAGATAAAGAAGGGCTAGTCAGGATAGTAGAACCTGAAGAAGGGCCGGGACTCGGGGAAGATGTCAGGCTGAAATGGCCGCTAGGTCGGGAGATCCGCAACAATGGAAGCATAGATGCCGAGAGACTGTCAAATAAGCGAGGATGTAATCGCTCTTCTTCATGTAGTAGGTGCTTCACTCGTTCCTGCTCGCGTCCAGCTTCATGACATTGTGGGCATGGGCTAGCAACTATCGGGAAACGCGACTAATTTGCGAGGTAAATAGAGGAGCAGGTTCGCAGATGTGTGCGAAGTGATAGTTTGAATGTGAGTATTAGTAGAGAATAGTAAAAATGGAGGAAATGAGTGATAAATATTTATCTCAGATAAAAAATAAAGCTAAAACGGTATAACTTTTATTTAGGTAACAGTCTCTTTTCGTTTCAAGGATTTGTTTGGCCTTGTGTTTGCTAACTGATTATGGCGGTATAGACCTGAATGAACTACTCATAGTGCTCCTCATGCCAGAGATGTGATTGCTAAACGTTTACATTCCCGTTTTTTTCGTTTGAAGCATTGCCGGAATTTTTGATGGTCTCTTAATCCTCTTGTTTTTTGATAAATTTGAGCCCATACTTGTTGAGCCACTGATATACTACTGCTATGGACAAAGTAAGACTACTATAGTAGCAAGAATACTAGTGAGTTTCCACACCTTTCAAAATAACACAATTTCAATGTAAAGGAATTTTATGCGAATGTGTCACTTGGTCAAGAATAAGTAAGTACATAGTTAGGTAAGGATAAATTTTTTTAAAGAGGATAATTTTATCGAAGATATGAAGACCAAGAAGGTTTGGCCATCGGTATCATATGTGGATAATTATGGCATTTTGGAGGAATTAAATACTTTTCCTTCACTTTAGCAAAGTACGCAGTTGGAAGGATAGGGAACTGAGGTCGACAAGTTTGATTATAGAGAACTACAACTAATCTCCGAGCAGAATAATATTATCAACCTAAGCAAGATCATCAAATATGAAATACTTAGCCTTTTTCAAGTTGTAAGTTACTATAATGTCTGCGTGAAGTGCTGTATTTCGACACTGATGTAGATTTAAATGAGAGCTAGCTCTTGCGAACCAAACTAGAATGGATAGTCTAGGAAACAGCCCTAACTCAATAAGTTCAAAGTGTTTTACGGACTTGTACATACTTTGACCTGTTATGCAGTGTCGCAGCATAACGATTTCACATTCTCAGCTTGAAGCTTTAATGTCTACAAGGAATGCGCGAATGGAATGCCTTTTAGTATAAGATCCAATAACGAAGCCTTCCCAAGTTTTCTGCAGCATCGACTTAATGCATGATCTGATTCTGCTCATTATAGCCCTGGCAAATAGCTTCCTACTCTAGTCAGTTTTCACATTATCAAGGAGTTCATATTACAAATATATACACCGCTAATCTGAATGGATCAGTAGAATTTTTGATATTCGTAATTAAGTGGTTAATGTGCCAATGCTGTAAGTGTTAACTCTGCACTACGCGGGTTCAAGTCCCGCTGGGGATACTGATAAGTCCTAGGCGAGGACCAAACTGCAGTCCAACCCGAATAAAGATGCCTTTTTGGAAACAAAGCTAAGCGAAGATGTGAAGACCAAGATATTGTGGCCTCGGGTATGGTCGCAGTCTCCTTTCGACTTATAGAAGTGGG